AGGACCTTGCAGTCGAGCTCGGGCTTCCCCAGCTCCATGCCGAGGCTCATGGCGCGGTAGCCTGGCAAGACAGAAGCAGAGTGGCACAGGCTCTCTCTGCAGAGAGCTCTTCTCGCAGGGAGGGCAGGCTACCTACCGACGATGACAGAGAGGGGTAGATTTCCCAGGCTGAGGTGCACATGGGACAGGGCCTGGGCAAACTCTGCAGCGCTTAATAGCCCTCCTTCCAAGGGCTTGACGTCAGCGCTGAGCTGCATGGCCGCCCGCCTGTACTGCAGCCACTCGTCCCGGCTGCCCAGCTCCTGGCAGTGCTGCACGTGCTCCATGTAGGCCTGGAGGATCTGAAAGGGACCAAACGGGAGAACACGCAAGACTGAGCGGGACGGGACTCAGCGGGACTGAGTCTCCTTCTCTGGAGATCTTCAAAACCTGCTTGGACGCAGTCCTGTGCCACGTGCTCTAGGTGACCCTGCGTATGCAGGTTGGTTGGATTAGATGATCTCTAGAGGTCCCTTCCAACCCTAAGCATTCTATGATTCTATTCTATGATTCTATGACGGACCTTGGTGCCGCCTTAAGGCTACAGTCAGGGCAACGGTTACAATGCGGAAACACCTCCTGGAGGCTCGCAAAGAAAGGCTCAGGGATGCGGCCATCTCCACGGCATTGGGCCTCTTCTTGCCATGCCCAGGGGAAGGGGCTACGCCAGGAAGGCGTCTGCTGCCGCAGGCACTCACGTGACTCGCGTGCTCAGACTCGGGAGCTTCATGCCCGCTGCCAGGCCCGAGAGCCTCTGCCTGCTGGACGTGTTCCGCTGGCTGAAGAGCTGCCGCAGGAGGGCAAGGCAGCGGCTCTGCCGCAGCAGCCAGGGGAGCCTCTCCCTCCTGCCACACAGGAGAAACCGCTGGGACGCAGCCACGAGCTACACGGGGCCGAGCGACACTGCCCTTCCCTCTGCAGCCTGCACTCCCCGTGGAGCAGCTCCCTGCTCTCCACCACACCAGCCCTCCTTGCGCCACAGGACACCCCCATCCATTAGCCTCCAGGGCCTTCCGCACCTTTCCCCGTGCTCAGACCTGCGCTCAGGCAACGTCTGCGCTGGAGCCGAGGCCGGTGTGGGCCAAGGGGCTCAGGCCACGACACAGATGGCTCTTTCTTCCCTGCCCTTTCCCGCAAGCGCCTTACCCCGTCTCCTGAGGAGAGGAGCTTTCTCTGCTCTTCCTGTAGGACGCATGGGGCGACTTCTCGAGGAGAGACTTAAAGAAGACACTAGCTGAGGTGCTTGGGAATGGCCTCTTTAGCAGGCTCAGTGCCTTCCTGATGTTCTTCTCCGCCAGTTCCATGCATCCCATGTTGTAGCAGACCTGCGTGGGAAAAGGCTTATAAAGACAGTCCCCAGGGCTCCGGCTGAGCACACACCAACTTTCAAGGGTCTGGTTGATTTGGGGCCAAGGGCATCGGCTGGCTGCAGCTGGAGGGCAGAGGGTCACAGAGGCAGCTGTGAAGAGCAGCCCTCCATGCCTCCAAACGCCAGCAATGTCCCCACAACCACCCCAGGAAGGCGCCCAGCTGCTCCCGCCAGCAGAGCCCTCACGTCCTGCCTGTCACTCACCTCTCCTTTCAGGCTGAGCAAGGTGGCTTCTTCAAAGCTCGCCAGCCCCTCGCCTTTCTGCGCTGCTGCGCTCCTCAGGGCCTCCGCTCGCTGCAGACTTGTAAAGGCCTTTGCACAAGCACACGGAGAGCAGGGGAGCGTCGGTGCGCAGCCTGCGCCCAGCCCCATCCCTGCCCCTGCGTCTCTCTGCAGACGGGTCCCCTCTGCCCGGGCAGTGCCCACCCCCACGCACAGCACAGCACTCCTTGCAGGCTGCCCTCGTGACAAGGAACTGCTTCTCCTGCCACAGGAGAGGCAAGCAGGAGGAAGAGCCTGGGTGGGAGCCCAGCCGAACATGCCCAGGTGCCACCAAGGCCTGGCCTTTTGCAAGGGCAGATGGTCTGGCCCAGGGCAAGGCAATGGAGAGGACTCCATGTGCAGGGGCTCCAGCAAGCAGGCTAGCTCACCAGGTAGTTGTTGGAGACGTGCACGTAGGCAGCCGCACTCTCCAGCAGGTAATAAATGGCTCTGGCCTCGTTGCCCATGGCCAGGTGGTGGTGAGCCAAGGGCACAAGCACCAAGTCCGCGGTGGCCTTGCATTCGCAGGAGCACGAGGCACCATGCATCCATTTGCTGTTCCTTGGCACCGTCTGCTCTGTCTTGGCCAGAAACCGTTCTGTAGCTCTGCTTGGAGACAAGATCACAGGAAAGAGGACACACGTTAAGCACCACCTGCCCTGCTCTGCCATGCCCTGCCTGCCTCGAGGAAGAGCACGTTTTGGGGGCAGCTCGCAGCACTGCAATGCCCAGCTGGCAGCAGGGCTCTCTTACAGCGATGAAGCCCCAGGACACCAGGACTGCTGCCCCACAACAGGACAGTCATCACCGTGATCCCACAGGCTTCCTCAGGGGTGCTCCTCTCCCACGCCATCACATCCCAGCTCCCACCCAAGAGGCCAGCTCTTCCTAAGCTGAGGTCACAGCCAGCAGGCAAATCTGAGAACTGCACTGGCCCCCTCTGGAGATCCTGAGGCCACTGACTTCCCCTAATGATCAAATGCAGGTCTCCTCACCGTAAAGTCTCATCCCAGAAGCCTGTCTCCTCCTGCACAGTTGTTGCAGCACCTGCAAACAAAGCAAACAAAGCCCGAGTTAAACACCCGCTCAGCTCTCAAGGGCAAGAGCTGCGTCTCGCACACTCTGGCAGGAGAGGAGGGTCGCGGCATGGAGGGCGCCTCTTTCCTGGCCACTTCCCCACCCCGAGAAGGCCCAGGCTGCAGCGCACGGCAGGGAGCGTACCCGCAGTGGCAGGGAGCTCATGGCCCCTGCTCTCCTCGCCTGTGCTGCTGGCAGAGCAGCCTTTGCCAGCGGCGCTGTCTGTGCTCTCTTCCTCTGGGCTGCTGCTGACGGCCACGTGGTGGAAGGCCACAAATTCCGCTCCGCCGCAGCTCTGGCACTTGTGCGCTCGCCTCTCCAGGAAGGCCGCGCACTTGCGGTGCATGGCCACCCTCTGCACCCTGGGCCACAGCTCGTAGGCGGCCTCGCGCAGCAACGGGACGCGGAAGGCCAGCACGTCGGACTGCAGCTCGTCGCTCTCGCCCAAGGACCACTTGTCATCTGAAAGGCAATGGGGCCTTGCAGGAGCCACCGCTCAGGGCCAGCACAGCCACGCATCAAAGAAGAGCCTGAGCAGGAAAGCAGCGCTCAGAGTCTTGCAGCACTAGAGCAGAAGGGCCCGGCTTGCCTGGTGGAGACCAGCAGGGCCCACACAACAGGCGACTGCTCTGCTCTCCCTGCTCTCTCTGCTCCCCCAACGGAGGGGAGCCGGCGGCACAACACCTGGGAACTAGCGATGCTACCAGCAGCACGAGGAAGCCGCCGGCAGCTCTTCCTTGCCGCTCTGAAAGGCTGTCCCAGCGTGATCCGCTCCCCATGCCAAACCATCCCCAATCAGGAGGCTGCCCTGGGCAGCACCCGCAGCCACGGGGGCAGTGCAGCAGCCCCTGGGGAGCCCCAGGTCTTATCACCACTTACCAGTCTCTTCCTGCTGCGTTGTAGCAGACCACGTGGTGGAAACGCTGCTGTCTTCTGCCACCGTTTTGACATTCTGCCACCTCAAGATGTTGCACGTCACCAGGACACTCAGGATCTTGTTGAGCTTGGTCCTGGTCCACTTGGGAAGGATGTGGAACAGCAGCTCTGTGGTAAATGTCGGCCCAATGATGGCTGCACACTTCAAAACCATCTGCTCCGAGAAGTTCATGCTGTCCAGCTCTGTGAGCGCAATCCCTGGCAAAAACAAGACACGCGTATCTCTCTTGCCCTCTGCCAAGGCTGAGGTGGGGAGGCTGCATTCTCTGCAACACAGGAAGCAGTAGATCGAGCCCTGCTTCCTGGGGACCAAAGCCACAGGGAAGGTGCAACGCGAGGCGCACACCTTCAGGACAGCTCAGCTCCCCCTGCAATCTCAGGGAGCAGGGACAGGGGAAAGGAGAAGCAGCCAAACAAACGGCCCAGCTAAGCAGGGCTCAGCCCCTCACCTTTCAGGCTGGGGGGAAGCACCATGTTCTGCAGGTTCACGCCAGCTCTGATGGTGCACACCCTGCAGTCCTGGTGTGCGCTGGACCTTCTGGCTGAGCCGACAAGAGGAGCCTCTGTTGCAGGAGCTGAGCGGAACAAGAGAGCAGGACAGAGCCGTTATCAAGAGGGAGACCCCTTGTGCCATAACTTGAGCTTGCAGCATCACTGATCTTGCCTGTCTCCATCCTCCACTCTTCAGCACTCACTCCCAGCAGAAGGGGAGCACTGAGGCCCCTATGGCCTCCCCGGCCCCATGCGCACAGAGGACCCAGGGGGCCCTTACAGGGCTCCGTGTGGCCAAATTACAAGGTGAATTTCACAAACTGACAGGGTGAATTTCAAGAATTGGCAGGGTGAATTTCACAACGGTGCTTACTGAAGAGGTTCTCCCACTTGGGCTCCGTTCCTTCATCCCTCCTTAGAGGCTGGATCAAGAGCATGTTGTGCTGCTGGAGGTGGCTCAGCAGCTCCTCACAGTAGTAGGGCATCCCACCACTTCTCTGCATCAGGAATCTGGAAAAGAGCAGATCCAGCAGGCAGTGACACAGGCAAAGGAAGGCGGGTCACTCCTCCGACCAGCCTCTTCCCCATCCCTGACCCTCCTGCCTTTGGCACATGAGCTGTCCTGAAGACACAGCAATGGCTGGAATGCACTGAAAACCAGAGCTCTGCGGCCCTGCCTGACACTTACGTCTCTAGGTCATGGGGCATGCTGACCACCCCAAGGTGCCTGCAGGCTTTCTGCATGACACCTGAAGGCTTCAGCTCCTCCAGGCGAATGTAAGTTGTCTGCTGCAGCTTCATGACATCTGCCGCAGCTCTGCAAAGCCTCTGTCCTCTGCAGGGACCGGGAGCAAAGCCCATGACCACAAAGCTCGGGATGTCTCTGAGCACGTGGGACAGAACAGCCCAGGAGAAGGAGTCCATATAGTGTGCGTTGTCAATGAGGAACAGCACCTTGTCTTCAAAAGTCTGAAACAAACAGGTTATTCAAGGTGGATTCTCAGCAATTCTCAAGCACCTTCCAAGGAAGGGAGGAATTTTGGCCAGCCCCTCTCCACACAGAGTGTGCTCTGCAGCCTCTCTCCTCTCCCTGGCTACTAAGGCATTCAGGATCTCCCCAGCGCTTCCTTCCTCTGAGATGTTAAGGTCTCTCAGGCAAGGGAGTACACTAAGACCATTGCGCCTCCTGACCGTGACTCCTCCATCTTGACGGGAGAAAAGTTATCGGGGGGCTTGACTCAGGACGTTTAGCCTCTGACAGGCAGTGACTGCAATACATCGACCTTCTGCCACTGCCACCACTCGCTCTGCTGCAGAACCCTCAGCCTGTCATCTTGCTTTCCTTCCCTGATCCACCATGGAGAGAACTGCTCACCTTCTGCAGCACTTTTTTAAATGCGATTTCCACTTCCAGGGCCCTTTGAGCACCATTCATCTTCAAAACTTTCTTCGATGCTGGAAACTGGCCAGAAAAGCACAGGCACACAGAAACATCCTTTCAGGGCATTTCAGCACAACAACCCTGCATGCAAGTCCAGCTGAGCAATATGCTGCTGCCCTCAGCACCTCACCTCTCCCCACACAACAGGCAGGAGAGAGAAGAGCGGCCGAATGACCACGGCCACGGGTCACCTCCCAAGCAGACCTTGGCTCCAGCCAGAGAGGGCTCCCGTTCTCACCTTAACCAGGAAAAGGGCATTGAGGAGGCAGTAGCTGCTCTCTTCCATGAGCCCTTGGAGCTTCTCCTGCAGGACAAGTTGCCTGGTGCTGCAGGATTGGCAGGCCTGCAGGTCCATGGCCATGGCCAGCATCCCTCTCAGCACAGAGTAGTCCTGCTTCATGTGGAGCTCTGTCAGCGCCACAGCCACTACCCTGCCGTGCAAAAGCAAAAGGCACCGAGGTTCAGAGAGGGCCCCAAAGAGCCACAGAGCTCCAAAGCAATGCTCCTAGGAAGAGGCACAACCTGGGGCCCACAGCAAGGGCAGCCTGCACATTCAGCCCCAGGCAGGCTCCTCAGTGCCAGCAGCATTTGTGCAGCAGGCTGCTTGGGCGTCTTCCGCGGGCTCGGCAGCTGCAGGAAAAGCCCTGAGCTCGGGTTCCTCTTTGCTTTGAGCCTGGCCCAAAGGAGGAAGCTTAACAGCAGGGGCTCCAGAAGCCACCTTGGTCTCCCTCAAGAGCTAGGAGGGCAGCTCACACTGCTCTCCACCTAGGCCTGGGGAGATCTTGCTTTATCAGGGCTTCCACAGCGCGAGAGCCAGGCACACAGGCAGAGGGCCTAGAGGACCCCACGCCTGTCGGTACGAGGGCAGGGGGGCCGATGCACATGGACTGCTCAACAACACTCACCTATGCCCAGCAGCCCGGCCTAACTTGGCAAGTTCAGAAAGTAAATGGCTCTTTCCAGAGCCCTTCATGCCCTCAAAGGCCATGACGTGGCTCTCTCCATGAGCCACGTAGGCCTGCACATATCTTTTGAAGAGAGCAATCTCCTTGTCCCGGCCTGTGAAGGCAAACAGGAGAGCAGGCTGTTGCAGCAAGGGCAAGAGCAAAGATCCCTTGACACCCTTCCTTCTCACCACCACGGCCCCTGCCCTTCCTCCTTGCTCCCTCATGCTACTAGCCGGAAGCAAGGGCAGGAGAGGGGCGTTTGGGAGACCAAGGCACCTTCTACCTACCGAGCAAGGGGGAATGCTCGGGCCTCTCCTTTTTCAGCTCCATGCCAAACATGCTAGCAGAAGAAAGAGAAAAACAAGAGTCAGTTAAGGAGGCAGAAGCTGGAGCAGGGAGAGTCATGCATGGAGCTGAACCCATGTGCTCTTGGGCACCCGCTCATCTTTTCAGGGGCACGGTATCCTGCCCACACGCGAGCAGTGGTTCCTGCCCACTGCTTCCCTGGCCTCTGCTCAGGCAGCCCAAAAGCAGAGCCATGCCCTGGCTCTCCATCTGCTCAGCCCCAGGGATGGGAGGCCCCAGTCTGGGCCAGCTTGGCCTCTCTCTGCACAACTGCTCTGTGCTGAGCAACAGCTGAGCCAGCGCTTCACCGTGCCTCCAGCCAGCCTGCTCAGCGAGGACACTCACAGCTCCTTGGAGATGCCCAGGTACTGATAGATGGTGCCAGGATCAGCAACGCCCTTCATGGCCACCTCGGGCAGCTCCTTGAAGCAGGTGCGGGGCAGCCGGGAGGCAGCGTAGGTTGCCGTGTCGCACGACACCACACCAGGGTAGAACTCCATGAGCCGGGCTGCCAGGTTCACCTTCTGCCCTATGACTGCCCCAGAGGGAGCCCACACAGTGACGCAGCCGAGGGCAGCCCACGGCAGCCCCCCGGGCCGAGGGCTGCGAGGCTGCAGCACAGCTGAGCCCCATCCGCTGGGAGCACAGCCCAAAGGGACCCCAGGGCCCCAAGCCCCCCTGCCCCACCGCAGCAGAGCCGCTCTGCTCCATCGCTGCTGACAGGCGCAGGTCAAGCCCTTGGCGCAGCCCAGCAGACACGGCCACAGGCTGCTCCCAGCTGCTCCGCCTCGGCCTTTGGTGCCTGGCTCTGCTCACAAAGAGCCCCCAGGTGTGCGCTCCTCACACGGGCACCTCGTACCTGTGTACTCGTGCCTCATGGGGTGGCCAACGACTCCGCAGAACACCGTCCCGGTCGTGACCCCAATGGACACCGCCCTGACACACGGAGAGCAGCGGGGATTGATCAGGGCCCGCGCGCAGCCCTGCCTGCCCAGCTACCCTCACACCTCCCCACTCACTCGAGTTTCGTGGAGCTCGAGATGCAAGCCTTGGAGATTGCCAGAGCACTTCCCAAGGCGTGGACACTCTCGCAGGGCACCTTGTTTCCGGGCAGCCCGAACACGCACAGCAGCGTGCAGCCCTGCCAAGGACAGGGGCAGCGCACCGTGGGACAAGGCCAAGAGCAAACGGCTCCTCACAAGGGATTCCAGCCTCTGTGGAGCCTAGCGGGGCTTCAGGGCAGCCTCCAGCCCCAGGTGCTGATCCCACCACCCAGGCAGAGCTGCTGCTCTTTTGCCCACTGCTCCATAGGCAGAGCCACTTCCCTTTGCCTTGCTGCCCACACTTTGGCACGGTGCATTGCTCCCCGACACTCACTTTGTCAAACATGCAAATTTTGTTGATCTCGCCCTTGTAAGGGCGCAGGATGGTCGCTATGATCACGTTGCTGTCCTGGATGCCCTTGCACAGCTGATGTAAGCTGACGTCCTCTGCAAAATGCAGCTGGACAAAGAGGCAGCTGACTGGCCGCAGCTCAGATAAGCACTCCAGGGGCTGCCCGTCATCGATCTGGAGGACAAGAGCAGGACGGCTTCACCCTCCGCCTCTCCTCGAGCCCCCACTGCCTGCAGCAGTTCCCAAGGCAGAGCGCGCAGGTGGGCAGGAGCTGTCACAGCAAGGAATAAATCCTCCCCCTGGGCAAAGCTGGCGTCAGCACATGCAGCACAGGCTGCACTTTTATATTGCATTTCTTGCAATCCTGCAGTCAATTGCTAAGCAGAGAAACGACTGCCAGGAGCTGCCAGCTTGCTCCAGGCATGGATGCAAGCGGCCACCTCCAGCGATGCCCGTAGGACTGCAGCCCTCCTTCCCTCCACAAAGGCAGCTCCCTGGAGCTCAGGTGTACCTTGCGCACAACAGTCGCTGGGATGTACTTGCACAGCAGCTTCCTCAGAGGATTCCAAGGGGGCAGGGTCACAGCAGGCCTCAGGACGCCTAAGGAAGGAAGAGCCAGGGGGTCACTGGCGGCCTGGTGCTATGAGCCTAGGGACGCACTGGGAAGCGGGGACTGGCACTGGAACTGGGGGAGAAAAACTCTTCTGCCCCTGCCCTTCTGTTCCTCTTGCCAGTGCTCATCCAGAGCAGCCTCCTGCAAGGAGGAGGAAGGAGCCAGCCCCTCGCTGAGGCTCAGCAGGGCCACAGGAATGAACACAAAGCACAAGCGACACTCCCCTCAGGCCCCTCAAGAAGCCCAGCCCTGTCTTCCTGGACGGCCACAGACGAGCACCAAGTTGGGACTTACCTGGCCGTTCAGGCAGGGAGGAGTTCAACCGACCCCGGTTGACCTTCGATAAGATGTCGTCATATTCCGATTCGGACATCTCTTCCATGCCTGTAACCTGAAGGAACAGAGAACAAAACGCAGTCAAGAACAGCTCCGTGACCCACAGAAGATGCTCCTGGTTGAGCTAAAGGTTTTCAGGTGCCCTGACCCCCTCCTCAAACCCTGCAAGCAAAACCCAGTGCCATCCCCAAGACAGAAGGGCAATAGCCACAGCTTCCCACCTATGGCAACACCTGCAATTCCCTCCACCTTCATCTCCTCAGCCTTCTCACCCCTTCCCCACTCACATGCAGGGCCAGGTCCTCTAAACTGCTCTAGAGGCCACCCCACCCACCTTCACAGCAGGTCCATCAAGCATCCTCATCCTGATCTTGCTCTGGTTACAGAGCTCCCAGCCGTGGGCTGACAGGATAACATCACTGGCGCGGGCAGCGTTTTGGGCATGCCAAACGTCACCCACAGCCCGGCCAAAGACCAGGAAGCGCAGCTCCTTTCCATCCCCCACCGTGAGGAAGGACATGTGCCCTGCCGAGATCCCTGTGGAGAGACCATCAGCAGAGTTGAGGCCGAGGCCTTTGCGCCTGCACAGCCCCCCGCAGTTCAGCTCTTCCCAGACTTGAGTGTCCCTCTCAGCCATGCAGACGTACAGCTGCCTCCACCAGAGGCTCAGCACATGGGCACTTTGCTCGCCATGTGCTCACTTTGCGCGCAGGCAGCTCCTCAACGGCTGCTGGAGGATGCACAGTAGCCTCCCGCAGGAGAGACCTAGCAGGGACTAGGTCCCAGCCAGGTCCTAGCAAGGCCCCAGCAGGGATCAGCACCTCTCCGCGACGCTGCAGCACGCCCTGCGGCACTGCACAGCACCACGCACGCCTCGGCGCCCAGCGCGCCCCATCCAGCACTCCCCATACCTATCTTCAGGCGGAGCTGCAGGCCCACATCCGTCCTCCGCATCCCGTACTTCTGCTGGATGCGCTGGCTGCACTGCAGCACCAGGCTGATGGTGTCTCCCAGCTGGGCTTGCTCGACTCTCCACAGCACCAGCACAGCATCCCCTAGGGAAAGCCAGGGCACAGGGAGGCTCCCGTAAGGCACCGTGATCCTCCCGCAGCTGCACCCTGCTGGTGCCGCGACAGCAGAAGCCAGCAGGCATGGGGAGGAAAAGTGTGCGGGTCCCCAGGCACAGCCCCTGGGCACAGGGGCACTTCCCTCTTCCTGGCCAGCGGCCGCTGCAGACACACTGGCAGAGGAAGAGGGTGCCCTGGGGGCTGCAGGAACGCACAGCTCCCACCTCGCCAGTCCCACGCAGCGCAGACACGCACGGGCTCTCCTCAGCGCTCCCCTCTCACGGGCTGCCCCGACCCCCAGCTCCCAGGCCACCCTGACACCTGCTCCCATCCCTGCTGTCCCACTGCGCCTCCAGCCTGGGCCTCAGGCAGCAGTTTCCCCTGAGCACCAGGGGGCCGAGAGCCACCCCTGCGGGCTCTGCCATCCCGCGCCTCCGGCTCCCTGTCCCCCAGCTCTCCTCGGCAGCTGCAGCACGCCGCGATAAGTGTCCTTTACCAGCAAACTTCAGGATGTCCCCTCCAAAAGCCAATATCTCTGCACACAAAAGAAGCAAGAGACACATTGCCCAGCCGCCCTCGCTGGCCCTCAAGGCCACAGCAAGGCCCAGGCCGCATGAGAAGGCAGCAGCCCCTTGCCCAGCACCTCTGTCTCCTCGTGGCCCAGTCCCCCACACGCCTGCAGAGCAGCACCCACCTTCCACGATATCACCCATATAGCGATTGAGGGTTTGCGTCACCTCATCCGCACCCCGGTCTAGGCTTGTGCTCTGACTGAACTTCTCTGTTAGAGCAGTGAAGCCTGAAACAAGGACACGGTGGCACAAAGAAATCAGGAAGTGTCTACATGGACCGAGGACCTGGCATTTCCCACGTCGCTTGCACCCACTCAAGAGAGGCACGAGCCAGGAGAACACACAGGGGCCTCTGGCAGTGGGCAGAGCTGCCTCACTCCACCTGTGCTGGCCCCTTCTCACCCCTGGCCATTACACTGAGCACCAGCCCTTGGCTGGGACCCTCCAGCACATCCCACAGCCACCTCATCTCACGCCTGTGGCCAGGCAATAGCCGAGCACTACTTGCACAAAGGGGAAAACCTCAGCAGCCAAGAGGTCACCTTTGAGCCACTCGATACAGCCCATGGGACAAGAGGGCTCCAAAAGGCCTGCTAAATGCCAGCAGCTCAGGCCCCTGGCCTCTTCTCAATGCCCACACCTTGCAACACTTGCACCCACCTGAGACATCCGCAAAGAGCAGGACTCCATGGAAGCTCTGAACAAAGCGGGTCTCATGCCTCAAGTCATCAGCCAGCACCAGGTCAGGGACGAACGCAGCTACTTTCCCCAATTCCGTGCAGCGCCTTGAGTGTCGCTTCCAAGCACAAGACATCGTCGGCACCCTGTGGTACCCGCGGTACCTCAGAAGAAGACGACCGTGCTCAACAGGGAGGACGACTAGACAGCACCGCGCAGACTCGTGCACTGAGGCGGGTCACAAGCGCCTCACAGTGACATCGGCCACTCGTCACCAGTTACCCATAAGCTGACCTCGCGCTACGGGCCCGGCTAACAGAGACCGCCTGTGCAAGGCATCACTTCCCCAGCGAGTGCCACGCAGCTGCCCGGCTTCCTGCTTACTCGGAGCCGCTTACGCCGCAGCGGTGAGCGCAGTGCCCTCGTCTCCCATCCGGAGCTGCACGGGGGCTCACGCGCTGAGTGACACCCGCCTGTGACTGAAGCAACTGCTTCCTCCCTTCCCAAGCACATTAGGCCTAAGCAGTGTCCTAACAGGGGCCCTCCAGACTTCCCCATGGGAAGGGAGCACAGGGCACAGCTCACGCTCAGCTCCACACTGGCCACAGGGCCACGGGCACAAGGAGAAAGGCCCCTACCTGCTTTGTGCACAAGCACTCGCTTCAGACAAGACAAGGCTTCATGGGAACACAGAAGAGAGTAGCAGCCATTGGCAGCGCAGGAAATCAGCAGTGCTCATCACGGGCACATCACAGAATCACAGAATGGTTGAGGCTGGAAGGGACCTCTAGAGATCATCTAGTCCAGCCCCCATGCTCAAGCAGGGACACCTAGAGCATGTGGCACAGGATGGCATCCAGGCAGGTTTGAGGATCTCCACAGCAGGAGAGTCCACAGTCTGGGCAGCCTGTTCCAGGGCTCTGTCCCCCTTACGGTAAAAAAGTTATTCCTCACATGGAGATGGAACTGCCTGTGCTTCAACTTGCATGCATTACCCCTTGTCCTATCACTGTCCACCACCAAGAACAGTTTGGCCCCTACCTTCTCCCCTCAGGTTTTATACATATTGATCAGATCCCCTCTCAGTCTTCTCTAGACTAAACAGACCCAGCTTGCTTAGTCTTTCCTCATACGATAGATGCTCCTGTCCTTTCATCATCTTTGTCATTCTGCATGGGACTCTCTCCACATCCTTCTTATCCTGAGGAGCCCAGAACTGACACAATATTCCAGGTGCGGCCTCCTCAGAGCTCAGCAGAGGGGCAGGATCACCTCCCTTGACCTACTGGCAACACTCCTCCTGGTGCAGGCCAGGATCCCCTTGGCCTCCTGGCCACAAGGGCACACTCTACCTCATGGTTAACTTCTTGTCAACCAGGACTCCCAGATCCTTCTACACAGAGCTGCTTTCCAGCAGGTCAACCCATCATCTGCACTGGTGTCTGGAGTTATTCCTCCGCAGGTGCAGGACTCTGCACTTGTTCTTGTTGAACCTCGTGAGGTTCCTCTCTGCCCAGCTCTCCAACCTGTCTAGGTCCTTCTAAAGAGCAGCACAACCTTCTGGAGCATCAGCCACTCCACCCAGTTTGGTATCATCACAACCCTCTGAGCTCTGCCATGCAGCCAGTTCTCAAGCCACCTCGCTGCCCACTCATCTAACCCACCCATCCAGAGC